TCATGTCACATTGGTGTAATCTCTTCTAACGCGCCGCTGTAATAGCATAGATCAATACCACAGCTGAATGTCTGTGTGATAGGCAAGCAGAAAGGTGAAAGGCAAATTAAATACTTGTGACTGTTGAGCAGCTGCCATTAAATAAGAAATGTAATGTTCTGATCATTTAGACGTATACAACTGCCAAATACACTGTCAATCTCAATACCTGTGTAATAGAAAGCCCCAGAACACCACAAAACGCTATCTTCCTCTCGCTCCCCCACAAAGAATTTCAGGTATGTTCACAATTCAGAAATGTAGGAAACGATCCAACAAATATTTGTCCCACACACTTTGGGGACAGGCATCCGCAGGGCACTTATCAGGACGCAAATCTGAAATCTTGGCAAATCAGCCTCTCCGTCCGCCTCAAACAGGTGAAGAAGTAACAATGTGAGACGCCTTTGTTGACACTGACAACTCACGAGTGGTAATCAAAACAAGAGCAAGGAGCAAGAAAAAACAAGAACTGACAGTCCCGTCTGAATGCACAAAGAAAAACCTTGTTTATCAACAGCCCAGCGTCTGCCTTGAACGGGCCGAGGTTTAGAGATGTACTTTCACTGGCCTGAATTTGTGACAGTGAAACTGAAGAATGTTTCACTTTCGCAAACACAATCTTCACATAAACAGCAGTCTTCAATACATATTATTGCAGAAGAATACAATATATAGTAGATTTCAGCTGAAATGCAACTAGCATTAGACTCATAGGAGGTTTTAAAGTGTGAAAATGATCTTTTTCCTCTAAAGCTGACAATATTTTGTACATCTTTCAACCCACATGCTCCTTTCCAGAGACTGGCACTGGCAATCCACCTTGAGATCGGAGTCAGACCACACGTATGATGTGTGTTTTAGTAGAGACAATGGTCAATATTAGCTGTAATATAGACTGCATGTTGTGTCCTCCACTGCTCACTGTCAGACTCTCACACCTAGAGCTGAAATTAGTGGCCAATTCATTGATTTTCATCACGCAAAAAAGCTAAATTTAAGAATTTGTTGCCTTCTTTCGAGATATGATAGTAAACGTAGACTGTAGGTCAACAATAAAGTCGTTTTTTGTATGCAATCCGGTGCCTACCTCAGAATAATGGGAACCAGAACTTCATTTTGAGTAATAGCATGTCTCATTATTAAACTCTCATTCCTTAACAGCTGTCTTTCTGATCAAAAGCCTCTAAATGAATGAAATTATCACATTTGAAAAAAAATGTTCATGTCTCTCCTACAATTTGCTCATTTACACGCCCGCAATGTATCACTCAATCTCCTTTTTTCAGTGACAATAACAAAGCTTTCATTTTCTTCCTTTTACAGAAATCTAGTATTGATTCTGGTATAGTTTGTGTGCTGTTTAATGCTGTAGGCTATAAACTCAGTCTCCCTTTTGATTTACAAGGGCACAAAGAGACTCATATCCAACACATGCCTCCAACAAAATGATTACTAGTATCAAAGCCTGGTGTAACAAAGACAGAGACAGCTCATTGATGTTTTACACCGGCCAACACATGTCCCACTCTGGAGTCTTGTGTAAAGGGCTTGTCAAGGGAAAGTCTCACACCAGTCCGCTTAATGCAGGAACCACTGGTTGGAGGTGGGATCTGGAGGCAGGAGGTATGAACTAAAAACTACTAATGCCAAACAAATCATTAATTTCCTTTACTTTGTAAATCAGTATAACTATATGGGGCAATAAATGTTAATTCACAGACATCGATGTGGTGATAGTGCGATGAAAGAATTTATTTTTTTAAACTTTATTGTTGTTGTATATAACTTCCCACAGCAGTAAATGTCAGTGCTGCAGGTAGTGAGGGGGACAGTAACAGTTCAACTTCCTCTTCTCTTTCCAATCATACCTACTTATCACCTCATTATATCGACATTTAGGGCGGTGAAATATCTCAAAGACAACCATCTCACACTGGCTCTCTCTATTGAAAAACGACCGCCGGTGGTCCATAAAACCAAGTTAAACGCCGCCCGTACCGTTCAGTAAACACTGAGACGCTTTCTCCCGGTAGGGGCTCGGTACCAACCCAGGTGTAGGCTACCTTTTCATGGGGCTTTTTAGCACAAAAAAAACCCCGCAAGCAGCATCACATTTTAAACACACGGAGCCTCCCCCGGTATGTTAGCCCTCACTCAAGTTATGACAGCAGCGGCTAGTTAGTGAGTTACGTTGCGACGTTACGAAGTCGGCACGCAGTCAGTTATTAGCTCTCATTCAATTCGGTGAAACGGAACAACGGCTAGCAAACTTCTCCGCTGTCTTCGCATCCCCCCGGACGTGGACTGCGTACGTATTAACACTCAGCGCGACTATTTCACGTTAACTCACAAAGCCGCTCGCTTATTATTCGTGTTAACAAGACACGACCATTCCCCTGCTGTACAAACTGGGAACTTGGCAGCCGAAGGACTTGTGGCTGAGACACTTTCAATTTAGGAAAAGGGAACCCTTAGCTAACTTTTCCATACCTTTCAGACGCCGAATATCTCCCCGTCGGTGCTACCACTTCTTGGCGGCCATAAATCCCGGTTTTGACAAGGTCGTCCTCGGCAGGAATAACGAAAATCCGAGTGTGTATGGCTTAACTCTTGCCAGAGCCAGTGATTTTTCGCACTCAGCTCCTCTCTCTGCGTGGCTCCAGTTAACAGCCGCTGCAGTTTTTTCCACAAGCCTGGCGCGGGAGCGAGCGCAAAGGGATACTGGGCAGGCCGGGAGAACCGTGTGGACGCGCATTTTACAAGACACACCAAAACCGCGTGCTCAGTTCAAGCTGGTTGTGCTGTGTTTGTAATAAAAGTTAGTGTTTTTATATGGGATAAAAGAAGTTTGTTGTACCGTTAACAGCATCTTCTGTAGCTGTTCAAGTTCTAAATACTAAATGGGTTGATTACAGTGGTGGAATGCACTTTAACTTAACTTTATATGTCCTATTTAAGCAACTTTCAACTTATACTCTACTACATTTGTCTGGCAGCAAGAGTTACTGGTTACATGTATCTCCAAATTTGGTGATTTCAAATTTTTCTGATAAATGATTAATTGTTCCTTTATAAACTGAGAAAAGTCTCCTACTTGAAAATTTTCGGATTAAATGTAAAATGCATTTGTCACAAAGCTGAAAATACTGAGAATACTTTTGAAACTTTTAAGTACACTTTGCTCATAACATGTACGGACTTGTACTTAAGTAAGGTTTTGAATACTGAACTTATACCTGTACTGGTGTTTCACTGTGTGGTATTAGTGCTCTTACTTAAGTATAGGATCTGAATACTTCCACCACTGGTTGATTATATCAGTAAATGCATTGACTCATTTTAATGAAAGCCCTGGAAGAAGCTAGTAAGTGGACCTTCAGTTCATTTTTCTTTTTTCACAAAATAATGTGTTGTAGCTCTTCCTCGACCAATGCTTCTTATATTAATGCATCAGTAATAATAATAAGGTGAAACATTCAGAAATAACAACACTCTGAATGAGAAATTTGACTTTAATTGAAATGGATTATTTTCTTATTGAGGTATTAATACTTTTAATCAAGTAAATGATTTGAATACTTCCATCACTGTTAATGACCTCAGAGTCTCAGTTGTAGCCTACCTCCTATGCAATACTATTCTATGGTATTACAGTATAGTACTTGCTGTTGCTGCGTCATTTGTTCATCACACTGTTCTTTCTGTTAATGTCTGTAAAGAAAAGCCACGGTGTGATGATAAAGTGATTTTATGGAACAGGCAGCTGACATCATGTGCAGCACAAAGCCACAGTGAGTGTTTGCATGTTACAGTAATTGAAAAGCGTTGAGTGCAGTCAGTGTGTCTTTTTACTGACATGACGCCTCTCATAAGGGATAATAACCGCTCCTCTCCTGCTGCTTTCAGGTGCAGTTGGAAATATTCAAATCATAATTAAAAGCCAAGTTCACATGAAACACAGTTAAGTGTAATTGTAGAATCTTCCACTCTGAGGAAAATGGTTAGTTTTGCATACCAACAGCTTATATAATAAATCGAACATTTAGATTTGATGGTAATGCTTTGCAATCGATGTGTGAGACAATTCAGATCGCACCCAGTTTGTGGAAGCTTTGGCAGTTGTTTCTCTGCAGTCTTTTTCTTAAACCTACAAGACACAAAACAATACATTTGGTACAATAGTTTGTTTGGACAAGTGACATTTACAACTTTAGAACTTGGATAAAAGAGCTCACAAAGAGAACCAGAAGGCAACATACGTTTGGGAGAAGGAGGAGGAGGAGGAGGAGGAGCTGAGCCAGAGGTTGACATGTGGGAATGACTCAAGTTTTTTTTGCACATTCCAAGCATTGTTTCCCCCTCCTCCTTCTCCTCCTCCTCCTCCTCCCTGCCCCAGTCCCGGGCACTGAGGCCAAGGATTTTCCAGGGCTGGGGGAGATGGAGCGGATGATGGGTCAACGAAGAGGAAGGATGACTCTCTTTTTCCTCTTTTGCTTTTTTTAAGAGTAATTCTCTCCTACCAGCTGAATAAATAGGAGTCAGAGGGGTATTGTTGGATACTTTTATACGTTTTAAGGATGGAGGAGATGAAGATAGAGGAGACAATGAAATAGCCCCATATGGAAACTGCTCATTTTAAGAGGTCTACTTTTGCATTATTTGCTGGGGCAGTTAATCCAAAGAGTTTTCCCTCAGTGTTTATGGGTATTAAGATAGAGGGGATAGAAGTGGTTTGTAAAGTAAAAACTGGAGCTACAAGTATTTTGTGCTGATTTGTATACAGGGAATTTCCAAAAGTGCCCATGTTCCTTGACTGTAGTAGAAACCAGATCAATTTCAATGCATTTGCATATTTTGGTCTGTGTGGTCAAATCGTTTTGAAATAACTGAATGCTGAAAAGTAAAAAGAAAAGTGAAAATGCATCAGGTTTAATAGTACAATTTTTTGCAGAGCATTGCAATATGACACTGTTTTGTTTTATAGCTACCATGAAGAAAACAAGTTTTATTATCAAATGTCTAACAGCCTTTTTCAAAATAATCAACACACTGAGGAAAATTACATTTTAAGAAAATAAACAGAACTGAACCGCTGGTAGCAGTAAATTCATTTATGAAATTGGAGCTCGAAATTTTGTCAAAAACTGTTTTAACATCACAGTCACTTGGGTGGGGTTAATGCAAGCACCACCATATAACAGTTCCCTTACTCTTTATGATATGCTTCTTAGTTGGAGCACAGAGCCCAAAGATCTGAGCGAGTTATGAAGGGTGGCACGAGTCAGGGTCTGCTGGAATAGATGCAATGAAGTTTAAACCCTGATGATGGAATAAAGAAAACTAATTCTTCGCCCTATTATGGAAAAGAGTGTCAATTAAAAAAGAACAATCAGCAAAACAGCATTTCCCTCATCTCTTTGTATCTCACACACCATTGAATATTTTGCCCATTGTTGTAGTGTCGCCATACCAGAAGACATGGCTTAATTAACGCCTTTGTTACAGCAAGTGTCTGACCTGCTTAAATATCTTTACGCCAGCCACTGAAGACAGCCAGAGACCAGCTGCAGGGAAGCTAACTGTAATGTCTGACCTTAATGTCCTGTTAGGGAAATGAACAGAAAGTCATTAAAAAACTATTGCGCTGAACCTGCGTTTCTCCTTGGAGTCTGTTTGGAGGGAAAACTTTCAGGGGATATAGTTTGAATTATTTGAAATCATCTTCTAAAGAGAGGCTGAAAACATTTTCAATCACTATTACATTTCACTGCAGATGATTAAATTGTTGACTGATTTCCCAAAATGTTTATTGGCCCACATAATCAGGGCAAAACGACATCTCCAGCTTCTTTGACCATGCCCGAGTACACTAACAAAAGGTAGCTCATTTTGACCGTAATAGTGCTAACAGAAACCATTCAGGACACCGAGACCGTTGAGTGCCAATTCAACACATGACGCCTGACTCATCCCCTCTGCTCTGAGTCACTCCCTCCCTCCTCTGGTCCAGGATCTGTGGCTCTCTGCTGGAGCTGGCTCCTCTCTCTTAATGTTAACCCCGCCACTCGACTGGCAGGAAGCCGGCCAAGGATGCAGACACGGCCCTACTGAGGAGGAAGGGGCTGTTTTCATTTCAGTTCTTTCTTCATGTAGACAAAGACTGGGTGGGATGATGGTGTGGCAAGAAGAGGGCAAGCCAAGGGACGTCATGAGGGACTGGAGCGCCGCCACGCTGCTCCTCCGTTCCAACCATTCTGTCGTGTCTTAAAAACAGATTTATGAGGATTTTTGCTTTATTTGATATTGCGGAAGACAGATTGCTTTGGAGGTGGGTCAACATCTGGACTTAAACTCAGGGTAAAATGTGATAACAAGGTATGAGAAATTACTCTTCACCATTCATCCTTTTTCTCCCCCTCTTTGCTGTGTTGTGTTTTTACAGCTTTGGGACGACATCAAAGCAAAAAAGGCTCTAGCTAAGCTCATTATACAAATGAGCATTGGGGCCTTGTGCACACTCAGAGCAGTGAACATGTGAAAGATGATCCCACAAGTTAAAAGGTAAACAACTCTAATAAGGCAGCAAGTGTCTCACTGGTCACAGAAGCTCTACTGGATGTAGTTTATGTCCCATAGTACATCACACACACAAGAGCTCGGATTGTGTTTATATTTTGCATTTTTCCAGCAGCGTGGCCCTGAGGATGGCACGTCGACCACATTAGTCCAGCCTGAAATATCTTAACAGCAATTGGATAGATTGCCATGGAATATTCTACAAACGTTGATGGTCTGCAGGGAATAAATCATTAAGAGTTTGGTGACTCTGACTTTTCCTCTAACTACACCATGAGGTTGTTTCATCCAACGCCCCCTGCAGGTCAACACTGTCAATTATCCACTGAAATGGCCCAGATAAATCTTTGTACATTTACTGTGTCATGGTTGCGAGAAGATGTATCCTCCAAACTTTAGTGATTCCTGACCTTCCCTCTACCTCTACCATGAGATTTCTGGTTTTCAACATTTCAAGTTTCAACATTTATTGGCTGGATTACCACAGAATTTGGTTTCCCCCTCAGGATGAAGTGTCATTCCTTTGGTGGCCCCTTAACCATCTCGTGCCATCATGGGTTTATAACCAAATACCTGCAACAGTGAAATTCCATCACCCTTAACTGTATTGTGTGTATAGTGGGAATTTGCAGTAGTAACATACTAACACACTAAACTAAAATGTTGAACATGGTAAACAGTATACCTAAACATCAGCATGTTAACATTGTCATAGTGTCACGTTATCATGCTGGCATCACATCGCAGGGCGATTAGCGCCGCTGTAGAGTCTTGCCACAAACTGCCGATCTATTGCTAATTTTCCTTTGACAATAGAGTTAAATTACTACCAAAAGAAGCTGGTGTTTGATCAGCGTCCAGGTTGTAAAAATTCAAACTTTCACAATGACCTGTAAATTGCCAAAGCCACACAGCATCACATGGCACAGGAGGAGCTGGACCTTTGCAACGCGCATGTAAAACAGAAACAAGGATTGCCCTGATTGTCCACACATATAATCAGTATCACAGTAGTCAGCGATTGTGTATTATTAGCTTACTGTACAAACCGACACACTCTCCTGTGGGAAGAGAACATCTGTTAGGGACATTGTTGGATATAACACTGTGACACATGTGGGCATTGTGGACAGGAAGTCTCAGCTGGCAAAAAGGAAATGGGCATCAGTGAATGGAAACAGGAAGGGCTCATAATGTCAAGTGAGAAACAACTACAGTGCTGAAGTTTGCAACTCGATAGTTCACATCCAAACTAATTGGCCGGCTCCTGATCAGACAAATAGGAAAATATTTTACATTTCCAGGCGAGTCATAACAAATCTGATTTACTAAAAAAGGATTTATGGCCTGAGTCTTCTACAGTCATTTTGTTCCTCATTCGTTCTCCTCTGGAATAACAAGGCTATGAATGGGAAAATACTCAAACATGATACAGTAGGTTATTGTTCCCCAAAGCTGTGCGCAGCCCAGTGGCTGTGAATGAGCCACAGAGTGCAAAGTAATTTGTCTCTTTCTCCAGATTCCACTAAATTGCAGCAGAGCCGCTCAATTAACTTAACCAATCCAAATCTGTTTGACTCTACTGTAAGTAAATAAGCTGAGGCACTGACCAAGCACAGTTCCAAGTGACATATTACAGCAGATTAGCCTCATAGTATTTTGATATTTATTGACTTGACAGGTAGGCTGTTAAAAAGTCTTTCTGGATATGTAGTGTTTAGTTTGGCAAATAAATGAACCAGTTGCTTTAATAATTTATGTTGCAAATTTTAGACACTACATCAAAGAGAAAATGTCTAACCCCTCAAAAGTCCAGTGTGTGAGGATCTATTGGCAAAAATGGAATATAATATTCACAGGCATGTTTTCATTATGTATATGTGTATAATCACCTGAAAATAATAATTGCTGTGTTTCCGTTACCTTAGAATGAGCTGTTTTTATCTAGGAAGTGGGTCCTCTTCAATGGAGTCCACCATGTTGAACCGCCATGTTTCTACAGTAGCCCAGAGGGGACAAACAAAACACTAGATAGGGCCTTCACAATTCACAACCCATTCTCATTCTCAGATCGTCGAATACCGACGCCAGTGGTGTGAAGTTATTTGCAGTCTACCACTAAATGCCACTAAATCTTTCTGAATAAGATAAAATAAGAAATCTAGGGCAGTGGTACCTAGTGTATCTAACTTTGAATTCCGTTTCAGTGCAAACATCCCCAGCATGTCATGAACCTATCCAACCAAACTCAGATGATGTAAATACGTTTATTGAAAACACAAACACATTTTCACACAGGAAAAAAAAAAAAAAAAATAATAAATGGCACTTTTTTTCTTCAGCAGAGAATCAAAGAAGAAAGTCTCCTCAACAATATCTCTTGGATATGGTAAATACAAATCCACTGACACATTTTTGTTTGATCAGAATATGGTTGAGAATGGCTTAGGTATTGTTGTGGAAGCATTTGCTATAAATGGATGGTGAAGACAGAACAGGACCAGTGAGTGACAGAAAACAGTTTCATGTCTTCTCATCTGATTATTTTATAAAACAAACTACAGCTATATTAATAAAATGTGAACATAGTTTTAAAAATATGTAAAAATAATAAATAAATATGAGAAGCTACATCACCTTCACCTACATCACCTTAGCAGAGTAATAAAAGATGTTTTAAAATCAATTGGGATGACAGATCGACAGGAAGAGTCGCTGCCAAGGAGCGGCGTCTACTCAACGTCACTGTGAATCTCAATCCATCAAATCGGTTGGACTTGGTCCAATTATCTAGGGCAAAAGAAAGCAAAAGACACTCAACTCATTCACAGCCGAAACAAACACAAAATCAAACACTGCTGAAGTAATTAAACAAGCTCATGAATAAACAAACCTTGAGGTGAAATTGTCAATTAGTCTGATTGATTTGTCTTTAACATTTTGGTCAGACCGAGAAAGACACTTTAAAAGACTCATTATAGGCATATTCTTTCCATTTTACTGACAATTACAAACAATTAAAAACAAATAAGCCAATAATAAAAAGTCATTAGTTGCGACTCTAAATTCTACTAAAATAATATTGACTGTATTCCATCTGTCAGTCTTACCTGTCCAAGCGGTTGACCACGTCTCTCACAGTGTTGATGAGATTTTCGTGTTCTTGGGGGTTACTGACGATGATGCTGTGAAGCTTCTTCATGTAGGAGTCGATGGTGTCAAGACTGGGAGTCTCTCCACTACCTGTATGACAGCAAATATGTGATGTCAGCACTTCAAAATGCATTAAGTACTTGTGGTTGTTTTTATGGTGAAAGATGTTAACAGGACAACACAAACCTTCAGGTTAAATTTTAAGCTGCCAACGACTTTTCTTTTACATGTTGTAAAGTTTTATTGCTAACTACTGCTAACATAGTCAACAAAAATCTTTAATCCGCCTTTTATGTTTACAGCTATGGGTCTTTTATGTTTGTGTTAGGCGGTGGCGGGGGTAACCGCACTGGAAGGGCAGAAAGCACGAGATGACAAGACCACTCAGAGTATGAATGATCCGAGCACGGTGACATCAGCCACTTCTTGTCACTGCTGATGTTTTTGCTGCGAGCAACAGCAAAGGACATCCCCAGACCGGGTCAAAGAGTCAGAGTATGGCTGGCAGCTGGCAAGAGTGACCATCAACTTGATATTTCTGACTTGTTATAGTTCAAATATATGTCAAAGCAGTGGGCCTCACGCATGAATCGCTCATACGCACGGACTGGATCTTAAATTGTGTGCGAGAACAATTTGTTTTGTGCCATTCATACTTTCCTGCTTGTTCTTAGGTAATAATATCAAAATTTAATTTTGCCAGCCAACTCGCATTTTGTGCTGTTAAATATTAATAATGGTGATGAAGAAGCCATTTACTTTATGAAAACACAGAAGGAGAATGTTATAGCTACAATTATTTATTCATTTAATAATCTAAATGTTTTACACTTGTTAGACAAAGATGATTAGGTTACAGAGGCAGATTCTTCAAAACCTGTGTGCCGCTCTGGAGCCTCAACTTAGAGTCAGAACTGCTATCGATTTCTTGGCTACTGGGACCTTCCAGAGAAAGATTGGTGATGTTCTAGCATATCCCAGTCCACTGTTAGTCATGCGCTCCCCAAAGTGTCCCAGGATGTCATCCAGTTACCACCACAGTACATTCAGCAGTGCCATATACAGTATTGCTGCTCAGCAGACCCAGATAAATCGACTGTGCTTGTGCGCATCAAGGCCTCCAAATCCTCAATAGAAAACAATTCCATTCAATCAACATCCAAATAATATGTGATTCTGCCTGACTGCACCCCCAACAGAGATCTCCAATGATGGCTCAGATGCACTCCATGTCTGTTTTAGTATTTTCCTGCCCCTGTCCCATGGCTGTAATAGTAGTCATTTTCTGTCAGTTCTTTCTTGTGCACATTACACTGGTTCCTGTTTGCTCTTTTCTGAACCAGTGACCCCACTCATACTTGAAAATAAGATTTCTTTCCTCAACAAAACTTTACAGTACATTTTCTAAGTTTGGTGGTATTTCATTTCCTTTTGCTTCCTTTTCTTTTTTGTTTTTGAGTTTACTGTTACCTGTCAAATTTCAGTGGCTTGTTGGTTTGTGGTTTACACACAGCACAGAAGTGTGCTGCCCTTTATTGAGGTATTTCCATACGCTAATTGCAAATTTCCTGGCACGCGCAACCACTTTCAGATCAAATACAATTCATCAACAGGCTCAGGTGGGTAAGAACAGACTTGGCTGTCAGCTCACCTTTAATGAAGCCCACGTAGAATTCCTGGGTTTGGTAACAAAAGGCCTCATGCATTAATGTTTTCTTCCTTTTATAAGAGAAAAAAAAGAAAACATTCATGCATGAGGCCTATTGTTACCAAACGCATCGAGACTATAGGAAGTGTATAATAGAACAATTAAATCTAGAAATACTTAAATATCTGATATTAAGCAAGTGCAAGGCCTGGAAATGGCACAATTAAGCTACAAATTATGTTAAAAATGACTGGTTATCAATTTATTTACACTTTCTCCTAACTGGAGGCATGTTCTTATAAAATGATTTCTGCAGTGTTTTCAGAATCTTTGTCTCCGCTGTGTGCGTAAGAAATTCAAATAGTTGTGGAGCTCAGTTCTGTATGTGCATAAAACAAATGTGAACAACGATGGACCACATTCCTTAAACTTTAACAATGGACCGGTTAAAAGGAAGAAGGGTTCACAGCCTGCCTTACACGGCCAGTCTCTAAAAGAACAGTGGGTGCTTCTACTGTACAATCTCTTTAAGTATATATATCTCTCCAGGAGGAGAGCCCCTGGAGTTCAAAGCACAGTAAATACACAGCGGGTGTATGAACACACCTACATTATTATTTATGTCTCACCGCCTTAAACTGTGACTGGAAAGAGCTTACTAGAGTATTTGTTTTTGTGTCTGGGGAAGGATTACTGGTATGAGATATGAAGTCAACAGTGGTTTGTAATGTGCATTGATCAATATCAGCAAAATTCCAGTCGAAGATTCACACTGTAAACTTTCAGAAATAAAAGCAAAGCAATTTTGTTTTATTTTTACACACACAGCAGAAAGTTGATTACAAAAGGAGGGATATATTTTTGTTCCAACATTCCAAAAACTAATGGTCCAAGTCTTCTGTCTTAATCGATGAGACAAGAAGTCTTTATCAGCAAATATCTGACAAACTTAGGCGGCTGCAGAAATGCAAGTCATCTAGGAGAGCGTTGAGTTGTTAATCTTATCTATATTGAAACAATCAAACAAACCAAAAAAGTTCATTCTAAAACTGCCTAAAGAAATGTTATATGAACTTTCTGTGCTGTAAACTGGTATAATGGGGATTTTGTTTCTCACCTGGCAGAGGTAAGGAGGAGAAGCTAGAGGTGAGCGCTTGGCGCAGGGTCTCCAGGTGTTGGTGGAGGAGCCCGTTGCGTCCCCGCTCTTGCATCACGTCGCCTTCCAGCCTCTCTACTGCCCCCCGCATGCTCTCCACGTGTTTCTGCAGCGCTGCGTTGCGCTCTTCATACTCCATGTTAGTCTTACGCAGTTGCCGCATTTCGGCTTCACGTGCTGTTGAGGAATAGGAAAACACACAGGGAAATCTGAAACAATGGTGGATCAGAGGAGAGGTCCGGAAAGGCCGCGCAGCCAGCAGTTGGGTGCCATCATCCATTTTTTATTTGCTCAGAGAGTTTTGTTCTTTTTAAGTTTAGGGCATTACTGAGAGTTCGGTGGACAGCAGAACTATTCAGGGAAGATGGAGCACTATAAAACCAAGTTCTCTTGAGGTAGCAGAGGAATGTGTTTAGAAACACTTAGACAAATGGAGGTTTAAAAAAAGTCACAGCACACCAACTACAAAGTATGTATCAACAAGACGGCTGGCTGCGTTCAAGCTCTTTACCTTTGCTGTGGTTGAGAAACTCCTCTGTGAAGATTGGTATGTCAAACACAGCCCTGTCCTTCCCTTCTCCATCCTTCTGTTGATAGCCAGAGACAGAGAGAGGAGAGGAGATAAACAGAAGAGTGGAAACATTTGGCCACACAGACTGACAGCGAGAGGTGCTCATTTATCTAGCTGGGCAGTAGGTGGGTGGGTAATTGATTTCATACCCAGCCACAAGGGAAATACAGTGATACAGTTTAAGAAATGAGGAAGGAGAAGTAATTTAATCAACAGCGCTGCTAAGATATCAAAGACCCTGAAATGGTTTGCAATACATTTGCAATAAAAATGTGCTTCACAATAGTAGCACAACACTCCTTCCACCGAAAGAATGCATCATCCTTCCTCACTTGTTAACATAATGAAATTTATGCTGAATCCCATGTCCTTTGAAATCTACAGAGGAAACGCTGGTATTCCCACGGGAATGCTGGTTCCATAAAGTCACCTTGGCCATAACCCTTCAGGAGTACGCTCTAAGACTTACAAAGGAAACCTCTTAATTACATGCAGAACTTAATAAAAATTAATTACACACTTAGTAGAAGCCAAGCGTTTAGATCACAAACACAAACACAGCACCAAAGCGGATTAACCCAGCTTTAGTGACGCAACAATAAGCATTTAATGTGGAGAGCACGAGGAAGGCAAACACAACAGATTTAGGCTCCTGGGTGAGAAAATAGCAAAGACAGGCTCTAACCATGATTACATGAACTCATAATGAATGAAATTAGTGACATTGCACATGGTCGCTGGTTTCATCTGGTTGAGTTTTTGATAGGAAATGTTTAAATGTCAAAACCAACCTTGACAATTAATGTTTTGAGGTTTGTTTTGGTTTTAGTAAAAAAATAAATAAATAAATACAAGCCCAAACTATTCTTGTCAATGAAAATGTGATTCACTTACGACAAACCCAGAGCTGACCTTTTTTGGTTTCTTTGTCACACACTTATTTAATTTCTTTCTTTGTTTAGGCGACTGAACACAAAGACATAGTGCTCTGACAGTTTGTATCACACCTTCCTACAGTGACAACAACACAGCATGCAATTCTGCCAACCAAAAAAAGACAAAAGAAAGCTGACTGTGTGTATAATCTGTTCCACTGTCCCTTTTCTCTTTATGCAACATCCTGCTGCTAAATGAGTATGGGATATGTCTCACATCAGGTACTCAAGTAATTCTGTTAAGATCTGTGCTTTCCTTGACTGGACAGGAATTGTGGAGCAAGTCAAATTGTGGTTTCGATAGTTCAAACAGGGAGTGGGATTGTGCAGAAAAGAGTTACTGACCTCATGAAGGGCCTCATTGGATACCTGGTGCCCACCATCTGGAGAGGATGGAAAGAATAAAGAAAGAGGACAGCAGATGATTCATGTTTCCACTGGCGCAGCGTGCCTTTACTTCACTGTGAACTGATAGAATGTATCAAAGTAATTCAAAAAAACCCTCTCCACTCGCCGTTGTGAATCTACTGAAATGAGGCACATTATCTTCTTAAGTAGAGCAGCTTTACTTGCAAACATTTTTGCCAAGGCAGAGCTGTTTATGTCATCAACATTTTTGATATTTAAACTGAGATTTATCCAGAGTAACATAATAGGAACAAATAATGTAGACCATGTGTTGTGTGAGCGCACTAACGGCTCCTCGGCCTCAAGCTGAACTCAAACCTGAACTACTACTACGAGCTTGAAAAGTATCTCCTTTCCTTGCCAAATTTCCATTGACTGAGCAGAGCAAATAACAACTTCTGAGTTCCTACACCCAATAATAGAATATATTCAAATTATGCAGTAGCCAGTTTTTGGATGAGTCTATGTCAATGTCTATGGTCTGTGTGTGAAATCAGATTTGTCTGTGTCATGATCTACTTACAGAGTTCCTGCTCTATTCATGTTCAAGCAGCAACACACAAAAGCATCCAGAAGAGGTCCTAACAAAACAAATGTCTTTTACTTGGAGCCACAAAGCAGCCCCAGGTAGATCATTTAGTGGCACGGTGTCTTGCTCATGGGTTGATTCTTGTTCATTTCAGTCAATACCTAGTTTACCCAAATGTCACCAGGCATGGAAGTCATTGAATTCCAAACTACTTGCTAAACAGTAGTACATCAAATTGATGGTGGGCTAACTGCCAGACTCGCTAGTTTCAGTAGGTGATGCGAACTTGTCATCCTGCTGCTTTTCTAACCGTATCTCACCTCCCCTGTGTCGCTTGCCCTTCTGCTTCTCCTGGACCTTCCTGGTGAAATGTTTGTAGGCCTCTGTCTTCTGGTACTTTTCCAACTCCCGCATGTACCGCTCCTTATCTCGCTCCGCCTCATCCAAGTATCGCTGCAGGGAGAAAAAAGGAAAGGTGAGTAGAGCAAGTAAGACTCCGCCAAAAAAAAGATGGAAATGAGATTTGGCGAAACAGGATGAAGGAGGATTGTGGGTGAGATGGCATGATGAGGGAGAGTAATTATACCTAATGAGGATTAGTTCCTTTCAAAAGGACAAAAATCAGTAATTTCCAATATTAATAATCTACACGCACTCAAGACTTGTAATGAAAAATGCATCTTTTAATATAATTAGTTTAAGAATTAGAGGAAACACTAATAAACCCCCCTTGTCCCAGAATACTGGCATATCTGTCTCCGCTTTAAACTATGTGAAAAACAACAAAGGGTACAAATCAGCAGAAACGCTATGCAGGCTCTATCCCACCTTAGGATTTAAAAAGAAAAAGTGTCCAGACTTCTCAAATCTTCACTGGAAAGACAGGCTAGAAAAACTGCATGTTCTAACATGAGGTGTTTTGCTAACAAATAAAGCTTTGGAATTTTGATAAATGATATGTGAATCATGATTCTGGCATTATGCACAGTTAAAAAAAAAATGTATGACAGGTTTTTAAATGACAGAATTTAATGTGATGAATATGACTTTTTTTCCAAATGAACCTATGAGATGTTGATATAACTTAAAGGTCCAGTGTGTAACAGTTAGGAGGATCTACTGGCAGTAATTGAATGTAATATTCATAGGTTTACCGTCATGTTTTCTTTACCTTAGAACTAGCCGTTTTGTATCTACAGAGGGAGCGGGTCCTCTTTTACAGAGGCCGGTGTCATGTTGAACCGCTATATGTCTACAGTACCCCAGAACAGACAACCCAAACGCTGGCTCTAATAGGCCCTTTTGCGAGTTTTGCAGCCACCTCGGTTTCTCCTACATGCTAGAGGCCACTAAATCCTACACACTGGTCTTTTAAAGGCAGTGGAATCCAATTATAATTCTGTTGCTTCATGTTCTGCGATATTTTGAAAAGGGCATCCATGTTTTCCCTGGAAGCATAGTGGTACCACTCAGATATCTTTGCGGTGGAATGACACATTCTTACGGAAAATCTGCCTAAAGCTGACTGTAATAACGTTTCTGTAAATAAGCAACGTTATCCTGCTGTGGCAATACAATCTGTGAATAGATGTCAAACAGCTACCAAACACAGTCATGTGTAAGTCAGTGTTTTGTCAGCTGCAAACCACTGACAGCGTGGATTTTACAGGCTTCTGTTCCTACACTTTATGCAAACACAGAAAAATAGATTGAAGTCTTCTTGTTTAATTGTGGCTTGGGATAGTCTTAAGTGTTGCAGATGAATATTTCAGTCCAATCCTTTGAGGCACCGTTGATGCAATTACTGAAAGCCAAAAGCAATGACAATTAAAAATCCACCACCCTGTTAATCAAAAAACCTAAACAGATTTTGCTGCTGGCTGCTCATGCCTCTGGTCTGTTTATTTTCCTCCGCTGCTTTCTCAAAACCTGGATCGCCCTAGTTATTCACTATTGCTGCACTAATCTATATGAATATTTAGATAGAATTTCAAGCATTTTGCTGGTAATCTTAAACAGAATAACATACAAAGTGGAAAGAAAGGGAGTGCAGAACTTTGACACATTTTTTCTCACAGCTGTATGCTCGGTGTGTAATCCTGTCTGGAGCTTCTTTACTGACCTGCTTCTCCTCGGGGGGCAGCTTGCTCCACTCGTTGCCCAGCATCCTCGTAATCTCTGGAAAGGGCACGTCTGGACGCTCTGCCCGTAGCTGCTCCCGTCGGTCGTTCATGAAACGAACGTAGCCCGTTAGGGGGGCCTTGGGTGCATTGCTGTCCTTCATTGGCTTCTTCCTCTTCCTCCCCTTGGTCCAGCTGCCACGTCGGGGCTTCTGCAAAGATAACAAAAACAGATATGTTGTGAAGGTTCAGGTAGCAGTCCTCCATGACGTACACTGGCAGGAAGGTCGTAGAGTTGGAATAGGAAAAACTGAAAAATGTGTAATTTGGCATCTGCGTATTCAGCTCTTACCTCATCTCCATTTCTCTGCCCGTTGTTTTCGGTGTTGGCTCCAGGAGAGCCAGTCTGCTCGTCCATGACTTCTGTGACAACAGGGGGGACCTGAAGTGGGAGATGGTAAAATAGGAAACGTCTCATACCAGTAAGGTAAGAGATACAAACCTGACTGGTACTATATATGATCTGGAAAGGTTAGAGATTAGTTATGGTAAGTCTTGTGCTATCTGGGGCAGCCAGATGTAAAAAAAATAAATAATGGGGACACACATTGCTGCCCAAAGAAGGTGGGTTGAACATTTTGAGACAGGGTTGGACTGAGGCATGGAGCATTGTCACCAGGGACGCTGCCCAGCCAGGACATAGGGAGCAGACTGCTCCTTCTGCAGCAGTACTGCCTTCTTCTGCCTTCTGTCCAAACTCCTCCCAGTACTGGCTCCAAACCTCCTCTTGGCCAGCCACATTTCCTCTAATAGAAATGTCTTTCTGCTATCAATCACTATTGAGCAAGTGAATAAAAAAATAAAAAAAAACAACACACCACCCCCACTCCTGAGTTGCTAATGTAGCCTATTTTTAACAGGAGGAAGTAGTGCTATGGTACTGCCTCACAATCAAGAGATAAGAGAATGCCTACATGCTAAAAAGCTTTCTTTAATTACTTTAAAAACACATGTGTGTCATATATATGTTAAAAAAGACAAAAATAATTGAGAGACTACCTCATTAAAATGCTGACTTAAAGCACTTGTGAGCAAACAGCCCAGGTTGAGCTCTGAAGATATGAACAATATCATTGTGTTTTAACCTTTGACTTCTTCTAAATCACTGCGTGGGAAGTGAGCCTCTGTATCCTGGATGTGGTTTCTGCCTCCCTGCCACTAAACACTGTGGGAAAAGTCACAGAGGAATTAGCCAGTCTACTGCTAAAAAAAAGCCTATTTGGGAAGAAAATGTGTGTGGGAACTTCCCCCTACCTTTCAAAGATTTCTGTGATGCATGAAGTCAGTTTCTAATGACACCTATAAATGCCTTAATCACAGCTACTGCTAAACAAAAGGATTGCCACGTGTGTCACCTATTCTGTGAAGCGTATTTGAGCAAGCCTAAAAACTTTACTTACAGGAACTTATGTTATCAAAATTACAATACGGTAAAGTGCAATATTCAAATGGTAGAAGCAGCCATTTTCAAGGTAAAATATGATGCAAAAATGATCATTCCCTCTCATTGGGAATCATATTGCAATCACAATATCTGAAAAAATAATTGCAATATGACTTATTTATCATATCAACCCTAGCAGGAACTTGCAGGAAGGGGTTTTAAGATGCAAAAAATATTTTTTAATTAATTTCCAGTGTTCTTTGCAAACCTGAGAAATAAAGGCTATGCTGCAGTGCCCTCTGCTGGATGAAAGCACACGATGCATGATTAATTGATAAATTGCATACAGTTCAACCTGGACAGAATAATATAACATTACACAATGAGCGACAAACAGTGAGGTTTCATAGTTTAACTTTTTACACAGTGGGCGTATCTTAACACTAATCTGTATATATAATAAATGATAACGTCATATAACTCCCGTGCAATATAGCGTTTAAATCACATTATTTTAAACGATGTATCCCAGAAAAGGTAAACCTCGGTACGGGGGGGGGATTCAATGGCAACATGGACTTAATAGCGGGTTATTCCTCTGTTTTATAAGCCCAATAAACAGCTAAATAGCACTAAAATACCACACATGTTGTTCTGCTACCATTGAAACCTTTCTTGTTTTGTTATAACGCCAATATGTGGCACATAACGCTGCTGTACGAGCACCCAGTCGGCAGCGTCGGAGCGTCGGCTAACATTAATGTTAACGTCAAAGCCACATTAATGAACGCGTGTGTTGCGGTCAGCTCGTAGAAACAACCGCTGAGTGGTCAGAATGAACGCAGCTGCTAATGTGTAACGTTTAACTGCTAACGTTAACTGATACTAACCGTTTTGGCCAACTGGCAAACACCACTGTTATTGGCTAGCGTCGCTTACGTTCGAGAGCTAACGTTAACGTTTACTTTAACGGCAACGCTAACTGCTTAACGGTTTTCAGTAATGGCGGTGTGTTCACGGCGACTACGGTTAACGTTAAACATTAAAACAAAAAAAGACAGAGTGAACGGGTCAGTGGGAGAAACAATGGTCCGACGCTGTGGCTCTGCTGCGTGCTAGCGTTAGCACTCTGTTAGCTAGCAGACGGACGGGCATCTGGCGTTCCGCTTTACGTTTACTCGTCAAGATACGATTTGAAAACATCATTCAAAGAAATATCTTGTGTGCACATAGTAAACCCATGTAATTAAAACTAACCTTTGATAGCGTAATCCGTGGCTGTAATCTACCTGTCTAACGTTAATTTACTTTCCAAATCTAAACAATACAGGAAGCGACTCCATAGAATCGCACCACGTAGACAGGCATGCTACAAAATACTGTCATATAAACCTGAATGTTTTAATATTTCATCGGATTTGTGTTCGTGCTTTCTAGATGTTAGACTACCGAGGAGATATATTGGTTCGCAAAAATCCTGAATTATATAGTAAAGAGGTGTGATTAGAAATGTAACATATTGATTATAACTAAGTTAGATAGGATTCAGCCCATACACACATCACACACACACACCAGGTTCACATCAGAAGCAGCAATATTAGAAGGTTTTACATGATGTACTTTTAAATATTATTCTAAACCAACACAAAGAAAAGGCTATTTAATTGAATCTCTACTACAGAGAGCTGCTCTAGACAGTCTAATTCTGTGCCCTCCTTGTTTCTTCGTGGACGTAGATGAATGTTGTTTTCACGGCGTTGCTTCCCCCTACTGTTCATTGTGCGTATTACAGTTCTCAAATGCACAGTACGTTGAACATTTTCAGAGTTTACTCCCCTGAGAAATTTCAAGCTTTATTTATCAGACGGAGAAGTAGGCAACACATCAAGTCTTGTAAGAAGTATTAAATGGATGAGGATGAGGAAATCTTTCATCTGCTTTGGACTTTTGTAGGTCACTCAGGCAAAAGGATGCTGGGAGCAGAGCTGGCTAGCTTTCAAGTTTAGTTTTGTTTTTGTAGTTTGTAGGGCATCCCTTGCTATGTTGCAGTTGCAACTTGTAATGCTGCCATCACCTCTTATTTCTCTCTCTGTAACTGAGAGTGTTTCAGCTCTGCCAGTGCCACACGAATATACACACAACTTACCAGCAGCAATAGACCTGTTTACAGTGCTGGCAACCCTGTGAATAATCAGATCATCATAAAGCACTGACTATCCCCTGTGCATTGATAAACAGCTGTATTCATTTGAGGAAAAATAGCCAACAAACTCCACTCTACAGCTCGTGGAAACTGCTATTATGGCTCGTCCAAACAGATAATCCAGTAACATGTTACGTTCTTTTGTGGACAGAATACACAGGATTAATAATGAGGGTCCCAACCTAGAAAATCAGCCCTAAATTGAGAGATAGAAAGAGAAAGAGAGTGTGTGGGAAGACTAATACTCTAATTCCAAATTAACGAAAACGCGAGTCAACACCCAGACAGGAGTAACGTAACTGTAGCTGCGGTCTAATTGAAACTTTGATTGCAATCTTATTGCAATTATCCAGAGTTAATCCAATCCAATTCTCAGGCTCATTACACACAGGTTTAGAGTTTAGAAAATAAAGTCACAGACAAAATCAAAACATTTAGCTTTGAATGCTCCTCAAATTTTCCATATCTTGTAGATAATCAAATCAATTGCTAGGGACGCAGGAAATGTTCTTTTCAAAGTTTCTGAAGAAAGTGCCAAGAAATCGCAAACCCTTCAGTATCAACATGCCAGGTCTGAATCTCCACTAGAATAATTGCTTGGCTGCATAGCATACATTTGTAATGACTTGCACTAGTCAGTGAGGTTTAAGAAAAACATCTATCTAGCACCTCATCTCTATGAATCATCAATCTTTTATAGTTATTCTTTGATAAAATAAACATCACAATTTACTATTTTGGTCGACATAGTATTTACAGCAAGAAAGTGAGTTTTTCCCAGCAGTTAAAAAAGTAGAGTAAGCTCCGTTAGTCAAATGTCTTGTGGCTGCATTGCATTCAGAGGCTGCTGTCAGTGGAAAAACTGACATCTTTGGCATTTCACAATGGAATTCTCCCTGTGAGACGGCTGAACGTCAGAGCAAAATAGCGAGTCCACAGGGCCCACCACCAAAACCTTTGGTATTGATGTTTAAGATGGATAAAAAAAATTGCTATGAACTCATTTGAAGCTGTTCTGTTGAACTATTCACCAACAATCTCACCACAGTACAACCTGGCCAGGTTGTTATAAGGTTATAAAATAAATACAAAAAACAGGCTGTGTTTCCCCAACCGTGGGTATTATTTGCTAACAATTACAACAACAGGTATACAAATTAGCTATGACAGTTCTTAGCTGAGGTGAACATAAAAAAGCAGCTGCCAATAATATGGTAATCTCTACCAGCAGACATCTCATATTCTATTTCTCCAACAGTCATGAATTAATAAGAGGTAGCACTGCCTGTGGAATCATGTTTGTCACTAATTGGCTGACTTGGAACACAGAAATGATGCAGGCCAACTGTTCAACTCCCAGCAGTGGCATGTCTGGCTCAGTCTTCACCTTTTTCTATTTTTTTTGTTTTTATAACCATTCAGCATTAGTGGTCACTGCATTGTGGGCAGTGGCACAGCAAACAAAGCTTGGGAAATGGCGAGTTAGGTTCAATCGGCTCTGAACTGCAGACTCTTTAGATCCCAGTAGGCCTGCGGGGCATGGCATCCAGCTGTCCCCTGTACCGTTACCCACCTGTCATGTCACATCGAATCATCTGGTCCCCAGCCTGAGAAGTTTAGTGCGCAGGAATGGTTTTCAGCCACTGGCCCTCTGTAGGTTGGTCATATGTCCGTGCCAGTTGGCCTGTGTGCGCCTGGAAAGTGGCAACATTGTGACACTCACACTGTATGCATCAAGCCCTCCTTATGCCACAGGATATCAATGGTGATAATGTCACATGACATGCCTGTAGGGTGAAAAAAAAGATGGTCAAGTTAGTGAATCAGTGGTTCATGTGTCTAAACTAATGCTATAGAGTGAAACTGAAGAACTGAGAGCATAGCACTGTTAATTACATTCTGATTTAAGCAGCTGTGAGTGCACTCAGAAACCCCTTTGATACCTATATATACCTCATGTTCAGCCATTACATTTTCTTGGTATTGTTGCGAGCGAAGGCAGACAGAGCAGCAAAGAGCGAACTTCATCTTCACCAGCAGCTTCATAGGCAGCAGCAGGCATTAGATGTTACGACTGACAATGGGGAGAACAGCGCTATTTGTACACGCAAGGCACTGCCACATTTGTTTGTAATGACGGGTGACTTTTAGAAACAGTAGGAACTCAGCTTGGTTTCTGATTGGATTCATACTGTTTTGTTTCCTTTGAATTTAAGGCAAGCTTTAACTTGTTGCTGCATTGGAACAACTATTGCAACAATTGCACAATAATTGGGCTTTTATTTGTGCATTTTTATTTGACTTAATCTTAATTTGGAATCTCAATTTATTTATTCTGTTGATTATTTTCGGTTCGTTTTTAAATGTTATTCTAATGTAGTTCATTGCCTTGTGTAAAGCACTTGGGATTGCCTCTGTGTTGAAATGTGCTTTACAAATAAACCTTGCCTTGCATAAAAGTACAACACATTAACACCAGTAAAGTAAATGCAGGAACTCGCATGTCAGGAGGCTTCACTACCCCCTGGGACTTATCTGGACTGTGTGTGCATCTCCTTTTGTTTCTCTCTATTGTGGATCATGCTTTTAAATGAAATAAAGATAAACAGACACAACATTTAGATAATTGGTGTTTAATGATGATATTTACTTTGCAAGTTTCTTTTTCACCCTAACAGGACTCACTGGGTTTGTACAACATAAGAGGTTGACATACAGTAACATATACTTTACAAGAACTTCTACATGTAGGCACACAGGTGGCACATTCAACTGAACACAAACACAAACAACAGCACATGAAATAAAGGCCATACTTGCACCACATGCAATTATGAAGCAGATAATGTGCATCGATTTTTCAGAATTTTGCTGCATACATTTGGATATTAATGAGAATTAATTTACTGCAGCTCCTTCATGCCCTCGTGCTTTAAGATAGCTAGTTAATATGGATAC